GGGGGGGGGCGTGTGTTAGTGTGGGGCTGGCAGAGTTTTGAAGTTGACGGGTCCTCCTCGGTGTGCCGGAGCCTCTCCCAACTCGCTGCCTCAGGGCGAACACGCGCTTACCCGCAATGGTCCGGAAGCTCCTTTGAAACTCTTCCCCAGCTGCATGCTGTCCCACTCCTCAATCTTCTGCCTCCTCTTCTCCTCCTCTTGCTAACGCGCACGTCAATGCCAAGAAAAGCCCGGTGAGGAAGGCGTCGGACGGCCGATTTCACGCGAGCGAGCCGGCGGGCTTCACCTGCTTGCGTTTCTCCCTGAAGACGGCCGCCTTGGCGTCCTGCTCCCGCTGCATCCTCCTCCGAGACGCCTCCATGGCCTCCTGCCTCCTCACCACCGCCTCGGCATCTTCACATCAGCGTCAGCGTCGGAAACAAAGATAGGAGCCGCGGCTCGGCCCGTCGTTTGGCGAGCTCAAGCTTGAGACGTGAGCGCAAAGGGAATCAATCGCAGCCGGCGTACTTGCGACAAGGAAAAGCGGTCGCCCTGAAAGCGGCCCGCTGGCTTGGTGCTACCCTGACCGCAACATGTCGCGGGCGTGCTCAAGTCGCCTTCGGCGGGCGGGGGCAATTTTGCAAGCCTTCAAGTCGGGGATATGTCAACACAAAGCCGACGAGCTCGCAGGCACATAGTCTTCATCTTCTACTTTTTCCGGGATGGCTCGAAAAAATGATTGCGTTTTTCGTTTTGGTGCATCTTGTACCACGACGGAAGGCCCGTCGACATCCCGGCCCGATTTGCACTTGTGACGTTTGAGGGGCGCGCCGGAAGGTAGAAACCCGCAACAAAGCGAACGCGACGACGTCGACTGCGAGCGAGTAACCTTGCGGCGCGGAGGCGGGATGGGGCCTGGTCCTCCTGTTGGCCAAGTAGACGAGCAGCGCCAGGAGGGCCGCCAGCGCCGGCAGCAGGTAGCGGCCGTGCGTCCACACCAGCTCCCCGGCTGAAATCAGGCAAACCAAACACGGACCTTCTGTGCAACGTTTCTCCTTTTCACGCCCGTGACGTCACGGGATCCCGTCGCGCCGACATGGCAAAGCGAGCGCGGTGCGGTCCGAACGGAAACCAGTGATCCCACCGTCCGATGTCTCTGACGACACGGAGGGTCACTCTGGATTTGGCGGGGGTTTTTTTTTTTTTTTTGTCTTCTTCTTCTTCTCCCAAAATACAGATCGGGCTGGCTGCACATCTTGAGACCGCACTCGAGCTAAGAAGTGAAGGAAATCATGAGCGGGAAAGTTCACAGGTGAAGCAACCTGGGGCTGCAGCTAACCATTTAAGAATCAATTCAGCCATTGATGTTTCCCCCCCCCCCCCCCATGAATCGACGAATCTGATCAAACAAAACATTTCAGGACAGGGTTTCGAATGGACAGAAGCAAAAGTGCACCAACGCAAACGAATGACGATTGACTTCCTGGTTTCAATCAGCAACTTTGGTTTGCCAAAGTCAAAGAAGATGTTTGCAAACGTCATCCTCTCCAAGTTGACTGGTGGGAGGCGGAAATTCGGAGAAATCGGACAATTTCAAGTGAAACCAAGTTTGGAAACGATCGATGGTGATCCAAAAAGCTCGCCAGATAATTGGATCAGCGACTAAGCGTCGATAAATCGCTTCCACGTTCGACCTGGAAATGCAACAAACGTCGCCCATGACGGCGGGTGAGCGTCTTTTGCCGGGATCGGGCCAAAACCAGCACGTTTGCGCATCGGCAACAAGACGGCGCCGTTTTCAGCGGTGGGCAGATCTGGCGGGTCGTTTGTGGGGGGGGGGGGGCGCATTTGTAGTTGCTTTGACATTTATGACCTTTTGAATTTGTGTCTGAAAAAATGTCAGAATTGAAGGCAGGAAGAGGACAATAAAACGAGGATGCAATAAACCAAGCGACGTTGGCTCGTAGGAATTCAGGTTCATTCTTGGGCAGACAACTGGGGGGGGGGCGCAACCCTACGTGTCATCCGTGTCTCCAACAGCCCCGATTCCACCGATCGCGGTGGTTATCGGGCTTCCGCGGAGCTTTCTGACGAGCTCGTCGTTTGAATCGGGTTACGTTGGAGGAGGGAGACACCGAAGACAGGCGGGACGGCGGTCCCCCGTCCCCGAGTTGCACGCCCCAAAATTCATGGCCATTCCTCATGTCGAACAAGAGCGACTTGTCATTTTGACTGTGTCTTGTTTGCTGTTTTGAGTGGCCCAGGAGTCCTGCTTCATGAAGTTGATTTGAGAGGGATCGCCATCGACATTTGTACTTGATTGGGCTCTGCTTAGTGGCGCTTCCAAAGAGCGTTTGGTCAAATAGAGCAAACGAGCTGAATTTGTCTTCTTCATCATCCGGAAGCCAGTCGGGTGCGAGCGAACATGCTAACCGGGCCGACTTGCTCGAGTGCGGTCACTTGTGCGCCGAACGGAAGTTGTGCCGACGACGGCACAGAAGGGTCAACATCGATAAAACAAAAAAAAAAAACAGTCGCCGAGTGTTCCGAGCGCGCCGGTTCGCGTGCGGGACGGCTCTTCGGTTACCCAGGAGGCCGACGGCCGGCAGCTCCCGCGGCGGCCGCTTCGGCTCTTCCGCGTCCACCTCCGGCAGCGCGTCGCCGTTCTCGTCCACGTCCGTAATCTCCACGTCGTCCATGTGGCCGCGAATTGCGCGCCGAATGATCGGGCCCGGCCACAAACGGCGACTTTGAACGACTCCCGATGAAGCGACGAGGACAACCGCCGAGTCGTCGACTCAGCGAGGCCGCGGAAGCTCGAGCGAGCCCGGATGTGCCAGCTTTTCTTCTTCGTCGCGCGGCCTTTGACGTATTGCCGTCTACAGGGGGGGCGGCGCTACCGCATCACATCGCGTCGGGTCCCGTTCACGCGAACGGCCGCGAATTGGAGAAACAAATCAAGACGCATCCTGAGATGGTGCTTCGTTGGACATCGTTTTCAGAAAGATCCAAGAAATCTATTGAGTACAGGGATGACAAATCAAGTCAAAACCGAAAACAGGAAATGAATTCCCAAAATACGTCACGTTGGGCTTCGGGTCACCCGTGTGGAAGGGGGGAGGGGGTCGACGTGAATTTGATTCATATAAGACCAACAGATTCAACGGAACAAAAATGATGTACATGCACCAACAGGAAGAAGAGCACGATCTTTACTACTACGACTACTCTCGCTATCCATCCATCCATTTTCTAATCTGCTTCTCCTCAAGGGTGGCGGGCGTGGCCGGAGCCCATCCCGGCCGTCTTTGGGCAGTCGGCGGCGCACACCCCGAACGGGTTGCCAAACAATCGCGGGGCATAAGCCAACTCAATAGAGTTGCGGCAAAAACGTCCTTTGTTCTTTTCTTGACCAATTCACTTGGTGCAGAAATGTCGAGTTCCTTTTCAAAGGACGGATGGCGCCAGGAGGCAACGCCGCTCGGATAAATGACATCCTTTGAAGTCCGCCCCCGTTTAAAACCCCAGATTGAAACCCCAATTCTACTCTCAAATGGTTTGAAACCCAAACCGCGCTTTAAAAACAACCCGAACTCGAGCCGACATTTTAAGAGTGGAAGGAAAGGCTTTTTCATAACCGTCGCCCCATTGAAAATCCGGGTGACTCCGGAAAGTGCTCCGGGCTCCGTATGCGAATCCCGTCACCCCGGTGATCAAATTGGATTTTTATTGTATTTTTTATTTCTTTTTTTTGCCGGACCGGGACGCGCTTTCTCGCCAGAGGACAGCGACTCGACCGCGATGGGAACCGTCAACGCAAAACGGCCAGTCGGGTTTGAGACTTTGACATTTCGAGAATATGACTGACCCGAAAGGGGAACGGTCCAAAATTCCTCTCGATCGTTGTGCGGGTTCAGATGCGCGACGACGAGAAACTGTCGGTCGTTCGCCCCTCCCCCGACCCGAGAGGCCCAACTTCCTCCCGGAGAGCCGACGGCAGGACCCGCCGGTGCCGAACTACCCCTTTGCCTCCGAGATCACATCCGGTTTTATTTGCAATTGATGCAAAATTCCAGCTGGCTCCAGACTGACGGTGACGAATACACACGCCCGATAGGCTAGCTGTCAGTCATTTCAGTTCAAAAAAAGAAAATAAAAGAACGGACTGCCAACGTTGTTGGGCAGAATAAATCAACAAGTGCCAAAAGCGGCGACGCTCTTTTGAGGACAAAGCAGTGCGGCAATTTGTATTTCAAAAAAAAAGGCATACGCGGCCGGCGAGTCCCCCAAAATGTTGTCCATCCGGTTGGGGCGGCGTCTTCCCGACGGGCTACCTGCGGCGGCGCGCGGCGCTTTCCAGGCGGGCCAGGTCCTCGGCGCTGCGGTAGAAGACGTCGAGGCGCGCGGCGTCCCAGGCGCGCCACACGCAGACGCTGAAAGAAGACGAGGGGGAGGACGACGTCGGGGACCCGCCCCGAAAGCCGCACGCCACCGCGTCCTCGCCCGCCAGCCCCGCCTCCACCAGCGTCCTGCCGAGAAGCAAAGAGACCGCCTTCAGCCGACGGCCGCGCTTCCGAATGCGGAAAGGCTCCGACCGTGGCCTCGAGGGCCTCGAGGGCCGCGGCGGCGCTCGACGGCCGGACGTCGCGACGGTCAACGGGTGGCGGAATCTTTCTCCTTTTTTGAGGCCACGCCGGCATGACGGCCGGCTCGCGTTTGGACGACCCGGCGATGACTTCCGCTACGTAAGCTGGATGAAGGCGCGGATTTGCCTCGCGTCTTCTCGGGCCAAATCCTTCTTGGGCGGAGTCTGATTTGGACTGATTCCGATTGTGTTGGACTTGGCCAGGTCAGACTTTTTGATCGGTTTCGAGGGGTCCGCCGGAGGAGCCGCGAAGCGGTCGTAAAGTTTGGGGAAAACCCCTCTTCCCCGGCTGAAGTACCTTTTCGGACCTTGCGGCATCTGGCCGGAGGTTCCGAAACCTTCCGACCCTTTTGCGCTTCCGCGTCTTTTCTCGCGCTTGCGGCGCTTTGTGCGCCGTCCGCGGTGGGCCGCGGAACTTTCCGTCGTTCCTTTGGTGATTTGGGGTTCTGGCGCGGCGTTTGATTCCGCCACCCGCTGCGGCCGTGACGTCGCGATGCCCCGTCGATTTCGATGGGTCGCGTGGCACAATGGCAGGTTCCGAGCGATCGAGTGGACTGACCCCAAGCAGTGTCCCGAAGGCGGGCTGAGTACGGCGCTGACCCGTCCTCGCATTTGCTCGCCGTGCGGCTCAACTTGGATCAGGAGCACGTCTCCGCCGCGCCTGGCGAGGAAAGGAAATCTCGGCGTGATCGCTTTCAATGGTGGCCGAGAGACGGACCTCGGCGTCCTTTTCGCGCCGCCCCGGGTGTCCCGGGGCCGCGGTCTTTTAACGCGCACCGGTCCAAAGGCCCGTTTGTCAGGTCAGGTTTGTCAAGTCTGCGCGTTCGTTCGCCGCAGCGAGGCTGGCGCGCGAATTTCCGGTTGCTCCAAAGTAGCAAGTG